TTCCATGGCAAGCGGTCATTATCATAGCTGATCTAGGGAGTAGGCTATGCTTCATGCTGTCGTTACCGGTGATTAGAATAGTGTCTCAAGTTATTGAACAGTCCTAACTTGTCACATTTCAGGTGGCTGTCGATGATCCTGGAGACAGTGGGCAACCTGCTGACGTTGTCGGTTTCCATCGCGTTTGTTGAGATGCGAGATGTCCTTGCAGCCGGTTTCGCGGGTCTGGTGATTAGCTTCGCCCGCAATGTCACGCAGGGTCTCAGCTGGTTTGTTCGTGTGTCCACCGAGTTCGAGACAAACATCGTCTCTGTTGAGAGGATCAAAGAATATTCTGAGTTACCGACTGAGGTAAGTGTTTTGCTGCTGTGTCATGACCAAGAGCTTGGGTGTTCTTCCGTTTAGCCGCCAAAAATGAATTTTTTGTTTGTTCCAAATGTGTTGTGGCGTCGCGTTAAGTCGTGTGTAACCAATGCAGTTTGCTAATCAACAGAGCAAAAGCGAATTGATAAAAGTAAAATGCCTGAATGACGGGAAGAGTGAAGCAGGTAGCGGGGCAGGCACATGCACTGGGACGTAAGGTCAAACGGGTCCGCAGAGGTGTGGGAGGGCTAAGAAAGGGAGAGGTGGGTGTGAGGATGACCATGATCACGTGATCACAATCTGCCTTACTCATTTCCAAAAAAATCAATAGCAGGCAAGTGCTATTTGAAGCTTACGAATATAAAGGGTACTGCCGCGTGCGATGCCACTCGACGCCAATTATTATTGTTATTGTTTATTCCTTTTTTTATACAAAAGTTATAATGCTTCAGAACTATGTCCAATTTTGCATATCACTAGTGAGTACGTGTTGGGGAGGGCGCTGCAGGGTTTGGAGGCGGCAGTTCTCGAACCGAATTCATCATGGACTTACCACGTCTCTCATATCTAAGAGTTCGCAAAAAGTCGGACTACTTTGACCTACCAGCCGATATTCAATGTGGACGTGTGCTATTGGGTTCCCTATTCGACGGGTTTTTTTTTCATTCGAAACTGTTTCTAGGCCCCCTGGGAGGTTGACGAGAAGAAGCCTCTGCCGCAGTGGCCCGAGGGCTCCCTGGAATTCGTCAACTACAGCACGCGTTATCGCGAGGACCTCGACTTGGTGCTGAAGTCGATCTCCTTCAAGATTAACCCAGGCGAGAAGGTGAGCACTGTTGTCGGCCACGTCTGCCACTGTTTTGGCCTCTTTCCACACTGTTTTCCAAGCTGCTTGCCACTCTATGGTGTGAATTTCATGAACAACGCTTTGTGCATCTTTCAAATTACCACCCACGCTTGGCGAATGTGCCAAACCACCACACATCAAGCTGTTATTTGATATGCTAAGGGGAGCCGGATGGGCCACGTGATCACTCTGGAGCAGGCCAGTAGCCCGCGCGTGCGCTGTTGTGCCGCAAATGCTGGCACGGTCACACAGATGCACGCTCAATGCGGCCGCATTAACAATGGACGCTGAGACGCGGACGGTCGGAAAACATAGGTAGGGGTGAGTTGCCAAGGCGTCTGGACCGACGATGAGACAAATGCAAGCCTCGATATGCGGCTGCGGCAAACTTGACTACCTTGATAAGAGTTGAGATGGCCAACTCATTGATTAAGTGGTTGACCAAGGCGAGGGGGGTGGTCGATGTGACTATAGAAAGCAGTCTGTGCACGAAAGCAAAGCGTTGAGTCATGGATGAACAGTTTCCCAACAAGCATCAACGGTAGCGAAGGGTGATTTGGGATTTTCGGTTGCTCCAGATTGGCATCGTCGGTCGAACGGGATCCGGCAAGTCGTCTCTAGTGCTCGCGCTTTTCAGGATAATCGAAGCTGCTGAGGGCGCGATTCTCATTGACGGGATAAACATCGCCGAGATTGGCCTGCACGACTTGCGAGGACGACTCACCCTCATCCCACAGGCAAGTCCACCATCGATCTCATCCACTTATTGCTTAATTGATAAGTCGTTTAGGTTGTCGAATCAGGTGGCCAATTGATCCAGGTTTTGGTGTTGCGTTTCGTTTGTGCAAGTGCTTTTGGAGTCTATCTGTTGCGTTGTTATTTAGACATGTGTACCGAAGTTGGCAGAACCCCGACGTTTTCTGCAAAAGCACAACTCGTGATTTCGGTTTCCTAATATTGATTTGAGCGAAGTAGAGTGATTGGCCGACAAGTTTTCAATGGTATTATTTGGACAAGTATCTTGTCAGGATCCAGTCTTGTTTTCGGGGACCCTTCGCTTCAACCTGGACCCCTTCAACACGTACTCCGACGAGACGGTGTGGGAAGCCCTGACGCTGGCGAATTTGCGCAGCTTCGTGGAGAACATGTCTGGCGGTGAAGGCCTGGACATGGTAGTCTCCGAAGGCGGTGGCAACCTCAGGTGGGTGTGTATGCATTCTTTTGACCTTGCCCTCTGCCACCTCCCTTCCACAACCCACAGCCTCGGTCCATTTCGTGCATGTTTGGAATACACAAGACTGTTTGCTTAAAAGTCTAAAACAGCATACGAGATGACGGGATTTAGGCTTCTCTGTAGAGCAAAGACGATTTAGTTGTAAAAATGAGGCTGACTCCAGGCTAGGTACTCTTCACCAGGAGTTTCTGTGTGGCAAATGAAATCAAGCCTGTTTGAGAGAACGATCATGTCATGTATTTTTGAGAGCAGGGCTCAAGGCACAAAGGGTGCTTAATTTTCGTCCATCCATTTCTTACGAAACAGTAGCTGTTCAATTGTACAGTGCATCACCTGCTGTGTTGTTCTCTATCACTGAGAATGTCCAGGTGATATCACCCGAGTGGACATTATGTTGTTGCCTTATTTCCCTTAATCGTTGGATTGCAG